TGAACTCTGTCTGGTTTTGGAAAACAGTCGTAACGGGGTGTAGGCTGATCACCCTTCTGGTGATAATCCGGCTTGGTTCCGTTTAGGCTTGAGAAGTAATGAACGGCTAATCGCTCGCTTTGATGCTCGAGTGCAGAATCAAAGAAGGCAAGAAGAGAGAGGAAGCTTTACATACCTTTCTCTTGTGGGTCCGAGTTCTTGATATCCTATCGCCTAAATGCGTAGTCCAGCTGGTGCTTGTGAGGATATCTTTACAGGAATGGTGATCGTCGATGGATGAATATTGGAGTGGGGTGGCAGAGATGAGCGCAGAACAGCGAGATGGGTTTGAAAGTCGCAATGCTTGTTGCTGATTTGTTGCGGGGGGTCCAGACCAAGAGTGGATTCCTCTGGGAGGTTCTTCCAAAAGGCGATGGAAGTCGTCGAAGGGCGATTGATTGCCAAGGTGTCCGAAGTTCCCTAGAAATAATAATAACGACAGAGCGAAACCAAGGAGACAATTCTCACAATCCCACATCCACCCCATATAATACAAGAACCCACTCACACACACACACACTTACTCGCCGAGATCAAACAGCTCGGACCGGGGAGGATCAACCGTGTGAAACCGGTCAGATTTCTTGTACCAGACTGCAGACTGACTTCCACTCGTTTGTCAGAATCAAAACAACACCCTGTCGATCTGGTGTTTTCTCAGCGAAGGAATTGCGATACAAAGTTCATATTCAGAACATTCTATGTAGGTTCCTCATGACCAAAAAAAAAAGAAGGAAAAAAAGGGCTGTGTATGGATCAGGATGTGATCAAACAGGAACAGGGCTCAGGAAATGTACCTCTCCCCAGACTTGCACCAGCCATAATCACCCTCCTTCTCAAACAGTTAAGGGATTGTGTATGGATGGATCTGATTGCTGGCAGAAACAGGTAAGACTCAAAAACACAAAAAAAAGCAAACCCAGTCTGGTGATCAGGCAGGGGGGCAGAGGATTTGGAGTTCCTGAAATCTGACATGTTGGTAGAAGAGTTCTGAAAAGAGTCATCATTTCTATCCATCAGCAGAAAAAAACAAAAAAATGGTCATTCACCTGATTGGCATGTCAAGGACTATCCCTGCATACCTTCCCTACCCGCAGAGAGTCTCTTGGGTTCTGTGACCAAATATCTGGAAGGATAATTGTGAGCTTCCTTCATACCTGGTCACCTGGACCCCAGTAAAGCAGTGCATCAACAGGCCAAGAGGATCTTTCTTGCTACTGCAGCACACTTCTAAATTCAGACCGCAACAGACTGCTATCTGGATAGGCAAGATAGGCAAGAAGAAGGGGAAAAAAATGAGAGAGTAGGAAGTGAGAAACACTATTGTGAACCCCCTCCACCCTAGGACTTTCACCTCACTTTATATAATCCAGTAGCACATATCCTGTCCAGAAATTGTTGGAATTTCGTCTCTTTCTCCTCATCCCTAAAAAATCCTTCTGTTACACCTTTCTGTTTTAATGATATTTAGATGAAAAATCATTAATTTTACTGTGTCTTGTAAGTGTCTGAGTGGCACCTTTTTCATTGTCTAGTGCTGCAATCCCTGTAGTCTTTGAACCCGGGTCTAGTCTTTATCAATGATTATTTGCTCCTGTCATCTTTTTCATGCATGTGTCAAATTGTTATTCATTTCAATATTCATTATTCTTCTCACCCACATGTTTAACCTCTTGTATGTAGACTACTTAACGCCTGGTCTCATCTAAGTAAAACACCATTGGTTCTCTCCTTCTTTTTTCGACCCTCTGAGCCGTTCCAACAAAATTAATTTTTGTTGTCAAAAATCTCCTCCAAGAATTCTCCCTTCCTAAGTTAAAATTTCTTCAGAAATAATCCAGTTCCATATAGCAAACTCCCATCCACACTGGCCTATGTAAGGAGCTGAAACTTGCTATGCTTCAGGAGTATCGTTCACCATAACAAGGGAATAACAGCCCAAACCAAACAAAAACACTGAACTCACAATCAAATCAATGCGTGCTTCCAAGTGCCAAATCAAAGTTGAAAAAAATGGGTGGAGCTTTGGGACCGTAAGGGAGGCTTGATTGTGGAGAATGAAAGCCCAACAATATATTTCAAAATGGTAAGGCTCTCTAGCAGAAGTTCTGAGTTGAAAATTGATCACATGAACCCTAGATGAAACCAACACAGGATGCTAATATGCAGGAAAAAATTCTTCAAGTCTTGAAGGTTCTGTGGGGTTCATGAGGGGTAATGACAACAAAAGTGATATGTATTACAGGGTGGATTTTTGCTGAAGGGAAGCAAGTCAACACAAAACCAAGACACTTGTGACTGATTTGATTATTGGAACAGAGACACCCAAAGTATAATCACACTTCAAGCTTTTTTATCCTCAATTGGCCAAGTTTTTTTCTGGAATTGTCTGAAGAAGAAGCTTCTTCAGAGAGAAGATACAGAAAACTGTTTGTCATGGTGCTTTTCTGAAGGAAGTTTGTCATTTTTGGGGCCAGAATGTGATGCTTTAAGTTTGACCATGTGTCTAGCAATTTTATGGACTAAGATCAAGCAAAACCAATGCTCAAAAGCCAATGAGACAGGTTATATCAGTTAAATCAATTAACATTGGCTCCTGAATTGAAGGTGATCACTGTTGTTGAATAGAACAGGTGAGGATAAAAAACCATTGAAGAATAAGGGGCTTTCAAGGAAACTTCTGGAATCAGAGTGAATATTTGACTGGTTAAAGAGGCATATCACTGGCCCCAGAACCTATATCTATCCTTGTGCGCTTCTCCTGGAAGCCAAGTGAGTTTCACAATGGGCTTGTGAAGTGGTAATCTCAAGATGTGACTCCATAGATTTTACAAATTGATTGTTTAATTATGATGCACAAGAGACATAGGCTGATGGTGTTAACTAGTAACAATGTAGGCCTTCCTTTTTGTTTGTGAGTATGCCCAGGCATGTAATGGTATTGGTGTGTATTGTCTCCGCTTTGAGCCTGATACTTGGTATCAGTATTTCCTACACTGTCAAAGAAATTGTGACCAATGCCTTTATCTGTGCTCATATCAGATATTTCCATGTGATATTACATCAGCTCAATTGTCTGATGTAATTATTTCCAAGCATCAAATCAGACATTTGAGCTGATTCAAAATCACATGAATATAGCAGAAATTATCACAGACTAGTGTCTAAGGGCGGCTACGCCGCCTGCCCGCCCTGTGTTGAGGTGTCTGATAGTCTGCTACCATGATGTATCACTACATGTCGAACCATGAGCACTACCACCCAACAACCCTGGCAGTCACAAGCGTCTGTAGCCTAGTTGGTAAAGGCAGCACTCTAGTATGTGTCTCAGCTTAGCTGAGGTCGTGAGTTCGACTCTCACCAGACACATCTTCATTTTGTCTGTCTCTACAGGTTATGAGCCCAGAGCCTACCTAAGCGCAACCCGCTTACAACAGAGACCAGATGAAGTTGTGAATGCTTACTTGTAAGACCAAAACTTCCCCTGTAAGACTACCTAAGGTCACGGGTTCAATTCCCACTCTGATCATGATTTGTTGGGTCTCATTCCCACTTCCACATCATGTAGCAAGGGGGGGTGTTGAGGTGTCTGATAGTCTGCTACCATGATGTATCACTACATGTCGAACCATGAGCACTACCACCCAACAACCCTGGCAGTCACAAGCGTCTGTAGCCTAGTTGGTAAAGGCAGCACTCTAGTATGTGTCTCAGCTTAGCTGAGGTCGTGAGTTCGACTCTCACCAGACACATCTTCATTTTGTCTGTCTCTACACCCTGTATTTGAAATAAGTTTCATCTTAAAAAATGGCACAACAAAATAATAATTCTACGTACATGAATTTTGAGTTGTGTGAACATTAGTCAATATCCCATCAAAAATTTCCTTAACTAAAACTTTCAGCACGTTTGGGCTTGATCCTACTTGAGTTACACACAATTCTTGAACATTCTTTACTCTTGACAAGCCTATGTATAATTGCTTATGGGCAAAAACTTGACCCTTCAGAACTAAAGCTACACTGCTCATACTTTGTCATTCACATTTATTTATTGACATGGCAAAGGCCAATGCCACTGGAAATTGATAGCAATAGAAGGGCATGTGTACTATCAAGTCTCCTTCATGGTACAACATAATTTTGGGGATTAAGACTTTCCAATTTTTGAATGGCCCACTTAGGATTTCAGAACAAGTTATGTTTTTCCGATGCCTCTGATCCATAGCTGAATAGTAGACAATGAAAAAAAGCACAGAAGCTCAGGTTTGTTTTGAAGTCACATCAAACTGACAACTTAGTCAGTCAGCTAGGAACTACAAGGATCTCTTCCATGCTGATTGATTTGATTGAAAACACTGATGGGATGAACCGGCAGACCAGGAAAGTGATGATTCAGTTTCTTAACTGTTCCTTCAATTTGTTCAGGAGAATCTATAAGTTGGTCAGTCTTAGTGACTAAGATCATCGTCGGTCAGTTATCTTGGACTTCTTGCTTCAGGATAGAATCTTGACTATCAAATGAATCCATATCAACTTCCAAGACCAATAATAATCAAACATCCACCCTTCCGATACTGATCAGACAACTTTAAACAGGAAGAAAATTTTCTTCAATTCCTGTGGACTGTCAAAGAACAGGGAAAAGTAGGATCAATAGCCATCTTGTTAAGCTCAACTTTTCCTTGGCTCAATTAATTCTGATTTCTTTGACTGGATCAGTACTCCAGCGGAGTCCAGCGGGATCTGATAGAATGATGGGAAACCCACCTGGGAAAAATATACCAATGATATTTTTTTTCCTTGTTGTCAGTGAATTAAAATATTCATCAAATAGATTTTGAAAGAAAAACTTACGGTAATCAATGGACAGTTTGATTATGTCGCAAGTGGTATTGGGATAGGGGGATACGATGGCAGCCTCTCAATACACTGATCAGAATAGTAAGCAAAGAGAATCAATCAAGCCTAGATAGATAGGTAGTCGTTATAATACAGACCCAATTAGTTAAGAAGAGTACTTTTCCCGACGTTTGGAGAGCCGTAGAGAGAGACCTTGATGCCCATGGAGATCTTCTTGCGTTGTTTTGATTGAGACAGTTGGGTGTTGATAGCTGTTTGGAGGTCGAGGAGATGATCAATGACTGTTGGAAAGAGAGAAAGAAAAGCAAGCTTATGAGGATATAGATCGATGCTACATATGCTGGAATCGAGGATCTCTACCTTGCTTCCAAATTTCCAGATCATCCATTGATCCATCTTCACTGAAATCAATGATAGCTTCACAAAGTGCAATGGATTGTTTCAATTTCTTTTGCATCTGTTGGTAGGTATGATCAAATTTGGACTGGATGCAAAAGAGAAAGAAACAGATTATCAAGAATGAGCACACAAGGTTAGGATCAAGAGACAGAGAATCGAATGACTGAGGAACTGACATTGAATTCGGAGACAGCCCAGCTCCTTTGTTCTTCAGCTTCTGCTTTGATCAAGTGCTTGAGGCCCAAGATTTTGTTGATATCCGTGGATCCATGAGCTCGATCGTAGGCATATAGCCAGTCTCTCTAGTCGTGACAGGATCACTCTAGCTCAAACCTGAGAGAAAAAGGTAAAACATAAAGACAAGTAGTTCTAGTGGAATTGGAAAAGGAATAATTCAATGACTTAATGAGAGAGGTATCGAGGGGGTGCCTAGGGTCTCAGAAAAATGAGCTGAGAGGAAAAGGTAAAGGTGCAAAAAAACAGTTAAAGCATAAAAGGAAAAATAGATTGAATAAAAAGGGGCAGATTCCGGAAAAAGGAACAAATCAAGATCATACGCAGAACATCGATTTAAGCAAAAGTTGAAACTGAAGGTAAGCAGGAGTCCATGTCGGCTAGTGTCAAAGACATTTTTAATAAATAAATGAATTAGCTGCAAATGTGACATGTGTGTGCAGTCAACTTTATTGATGGTAAAGGGAGAATTTTGAAGACGCATAAGAAACATTAATGGCAAATGAGGAATGTACGGCGATTATAAGTAGAAATAGGATAATTGAGCTGAGTGTTGTGAGACGGTAAAGGGAATATGAGATTCTTAGGGTGAAATTTTTGTGACGGGAAAGGTAATAATTTAGAAAAAGGATGAGGTTTGAACAGTATGTATGACAAAGACAAGAATGACAACCTGATCAGACAAAAGAGAGTCAAATTCATAAAAGGAGGTAGGCTTGGGGGGGAGGGAGAGAAGGCAAAACAAGGTCAAGAAGAGAATGGATGTCTCTTCTGTCATTGCAATCTGCAATACTTGTTTAGGAGAGTGGGGTTTGTGGTTTAAGGTTAAACCTTTTAATAATACAGCAGTCTGATGCAATTTCTATGCTGCATGTGCAGTTCAATTGCAGCAGATAGCTGTATCTGTGATCATTTCAGATATTTCCATGTGATGTTATATCAGTTGAAGTTTCTGGTGAAATTTTTGTACACTCCAACTGACATAACATCACATCAAGATATCTGACATAATCACAGATACAGCTATCTGAAACAATTGCTTTGAAATTGCATGGTTGGTGAGACAATCCACTGTCTTGGATTCAGCGGCTTTACCCATGCAAGAAAATACATGTGTCTCCGTTTTTTCATCAATACAACTGAATATCTTGTGTATTGTATACATTTCTGGTGGGATCATATCAGCCACAGAGCACCTGTCACAGTACGTGAAATGTACCTAGTAACTGCAAGGTGATAATTAATTGAATAAAAGTAAATTTTATACCTTGGTGTTAAAATAGGGCCTTAATAAAAAAACGCAGTTTTTCCATGTGATCTTGAATAGTAACTTTCATAAGAATTCAATTCATTGGTCCTCCTTTCAAACATGCTTTCTTTCCTTGAGCAACACTGGGAAGTTACCTCATTAGTTAGCTCATAGCTTGAATTTGTAACTTGAGGCCGGTTAAACAATAATGCAATACTTCAGCTATATAAATACAACTGATATTTTGTCCAGATGCTGTGGCCAAATTCAGTTACAGATATCTGGTGGCTTGAATAATTTTTTTTCTCTTGCTTAAATTATCAAATTCAATATGGTAGAAGCATTATTTCCATTTTTTGAAAAATATATGAAGAGAGCCTGTTTGTTAATATCTACATGGCAAAAAGAAATCATTTGGTTCACATATAAAAGTTTTACCAAGTTAATAACCCACAAAAACAGCTGATAGCTCAACTTCCCAGTGTTGCCTTGAGCCCCTGCTATGTGTCACACATTCTGACCAAAATTCTCCCCCATCAATCTGTCCTCCTCCGCATACGTTCTAAGCTCTTAACACAAAAATATTGAATTGTTTACTTCCCAATATATAATTATCTGTTATATTTGAAGCTATGGTGAGTTTAAGGAAGGTTGATGTCTACTGATGTTTGAACCCCAGGAGGATTCAATAGGAAAATCTGTGGTTCTTTTTATTCATTCCCTCCCCAATGTTCACAGCTACTTGTCAAACATATATCCTACCATCTAGTCTAGCACACTAGGGGAAAAAATCACCTAGCTGGCCGCAGTTGAGATTTGTAGGTTTTGTACTCCCAATGTTGCTTGTGTTGAAAGTGCAATGTATCACAAAGTCAATACCTCTGAAGTACAGTCACTTTGGAATTTGAAGAGTGGCTTTGTTTTGCATTTTGTATGAAGTAAATGTTGTGTCACATACAAACAACCCATCTTTCATTAGAATCCTATTGGTAAACTGGAAGAAGTCTGCTGGAATTGAAGAATCATGAGTTGATTATGTAGGAGGATGAATTTATATTGGATCAATGAGCTGGATTATGGATTATTGGATTATGTATTAGGGCAGTTCTGTCATAAACCAAAATAGATCTGCACTACAGGAACTGAACCTGTGACCCCAAACTTCATGAGTGATGCTTTAACCACTAAGCTAAGTGCGCTAATGCTTGCTGGGCTCATTTTGTCTAGAGATGTTCCACCCTAGTACTTGTATCCTGGGATGATAAGTCTTATTTTTATATGCTTATCATTATATCAGGATCAAGACTTACACAGAGTGAGTGTCAGATTGCTTAGGGTAGGAATGGAATATAACAAGTTCATGTAAAGCAATCTCTCTGCTGATTTTTTTTAACACTCATGCTTGAATTTTGCTTCTAAAGGGGAGCTCCACTGCAAACTTTGATATAACTTTCCAGGTCAATCAGCAGAGCCAACTTGAACAAGGTTTCACTGCTGATTTTTTTTTTTAAAAAAACACGAGTAGATGAACTTCCCTATTGTGATGGATTTTCTTTCACTCTTATCCTTTCCCTTGATCAGATTTTGTTTGATGTTCAAGTTTAAATGCTTTAAGGGGGTTCATGACGTACTGCTGTTTTTGAAATCTGCAGTCAAACTTTGTTGGAATGGCTGTTTTAAGGTTTATGAGAAAGCAAAATAGTTTAGTGGGAGGTCCCCCTTTGGATTCAAAATCCCACATTTAAAGTTCATCAAGTTTGTGCATCAGCAAACAAACCTTATTCAAGACCAGCAAAGGATTGGCTGGAACATTGTAACAACTAAGATCACAGCAGCCCTACACACACTAATTAGAGATGTCAGCAGGTACCCAGAAATGGGTGCGGGTGCAAGTGTGTCAGTGGTGGGTAACTCCATGGTGACTAGAATCTGCTCAATGGAAGTTTACTGGTGTTTACCAGTGGCTCCAAGTCGTAGAAAGAGTCTAATACAGTCCAAGGTGTTCACGCTCAGCCGTTGATAAGTTTTTGAGAAGTTCAGGGTTGGAGTTCCGTACAGTGATGTGGTGATTTTAGGGGAACAGGCCAATTTGAAGTAGTGATGAGTTGATGTATCTCCAAATGGGAGAGGAATGATTTGAACTAAAAGGGTGTTATTATTTTTGTCTCTTCTGAAAGTCTGGGGAACAAGCAAACTCAGAGAGTACAACTTATATACGTATCTACAACATTCCACTAGATATAAGCATATTCAAAGTATGTTAATAATAAAAGGAGTGAAATGAATGAAAAGGAGTGAAATGAATGAAAAGGAGTGAAATGAATGAAAAGGAGTGAAATGAATGAAAATGAGTGAAAGGTGTGTGAAATTTGTGAAGAGTGCAGTTGGTGTAGCAAAACAATGAGTTGACAAGTTAAGGGGTAACTGGGTTTTGCTTGCCAGCTATTCTGATTTCATTCTCTACATGTCACAATCTGTGACATTCACATTTTTTTCCTAGTTCTTATACTGGATCCATCAGAGCTTAGGAGGATTTCCTTTTTCCTCATCCTTTCCAACTCTCTTGTCTCCAGGTATGTCTTTCACTCTTCTTTTTCATCTCTCTCTTTCTCTTAGATTGAAATGAACACATCATCCTTTCCAACTCTTTTGTCTCCAGGGTGTTCATCTCAACAGATGCAACCGCCTTGCTGGCTGCAACAAATTCTATTGTTTCAAACTGCTTTGTTACAGATTAATTTCTTATTTCTTATTTCTCTTTGAATACATTATTTTTTAAAGAGAAATACAATGTTAATTTTTGGTTTTCCTTGTCTTAGATTAAACATTTCACTTATTCTACTAATCTTCTTGATTAACTTCTTGATTAATCTCTTTAACAGAAATCACTTTCATAAATATTTTTTGAATTTTGCTGAGGGCTGTCACTGTGCCTACTCGTCACAAACGTGAACTGCCCTATTCTTGAATCAGACTCTTGATGTCCTTTTCAGCTTTGCAAGCACACTTGTTTGTGGTTGGCTTGTTTGTGGTTGGCTGTTTGGCTTGTTTGTGGTTAGACTGTACTGTGTCTGTCACAGGTTCTGAGGTTTTCCCGAGCACGGATCAAGGTTTGACAGCATACATCCGATTACATATTTCAAATTACTTTCACAGCAGTCGGGCGTGCTTACCTAAGCAGGCTGTCCGTTCAGCCTGGTCCAGTCCAACCCCACCACAGTCTCACAGCCAACCAAACTTCTACTCCTACAATCTCTTGACCAAACCCCCACTCTCCTTTCCCTTCTTCATCTCATTCCCTTCGATCCATCACCAAAATTATCATCAACCTCCAAACAACAAACAACCTTCAAACATGTCGCAACCTCACCACGATCTATCTCGGAGACAAAACCAAGCCCAACAACAGAGTCTGTCTATCTAAATCCAAATCACATCTGTATAAACAAAACTGACTATGACTCATTCACGTAGCATTCGGATGTCAAACTTATCACTCCCCCACCCCGAACCAGGTCGTCGAGGCCTTCTCGACTGCCACCCTAGAATGGGACCCACACTGCTTCGACTCGGCCAAGAATATTGACATCTACCTCCAATCACTCGATGTAGCCCAGCCGATCCATGTGTGGAAGAACGTGGTAGCCTCCAGCGCCAAACTGTCGACCCAATTCATCCCCGATTGGTGGAACAGCACCCAATCCGTCTCCCTCCAGATCGTCATCACCCCCTCCGACCTGCCCCTATGGGCCGGCCTCGGTCCAGGGCCGATCTTCTTTGCTCACTTCAATGGCTCCATTCCCGCCGGCGCACCCACCTCGGCTCACGAAGGCAAACAGCTCGGAGGCCCTAGCATCGAGTACATCACCGACCTCTTCCATCGCTCCCACCACGCACTCAGTGGTGGCAAGCTTGGCGCAGCAATCTTTTTACCCCTCTTGGCCGTCGCCATCGCTATCTCGAGCTATATCTTCATCTCCCGACGCAGAAGTGGCCAGGCCAGCAAACGCTGGAGTGAGTACGTCGACAAGCGGATGTCGGTCATGGGCTCCCAGACCTGGGACAGCCCCATGGCCGGATCGGACCCCCTTCCCTCCGTCCGAGGGATCCCCGGCAGTCGGGTGGCTTCCATGTACCGCCACTCAGCCTCGCTTCCCCAACGAGACTCGATGATTCATGCTCCCAATGCCAGGCTGAGCACCTTCAGTCTCAACCGTCCCGTTTCTGTCAGACCTCCAACCCTTCCTGGTCACCATTCTCGCAACACCTCCCTCGCCGGTAGTGCCGCCAGAGTCTCCTTCGTCGACCGTCAATCCGGGATCTCTTTCCCTCGTCCAGGCTCTGAGTTTCACCCCAACCCCAACGAGCCGCCAGTCGCTCCTTTCCGACCTGCCCATCAAGCTACCTCGAGCATGAGCAGGAGTGTCAGCAACTTGCGCTTCGAACTGGACGCCAAACCGACCACTGATTCTGTACGTCCTCCCTTCCTTAATCCCCAAAACACAGATTCTCATGCTAACCAAACTCTTCATGATCTTACAGCCATCTTCTAATAAGTCGAAGCCGCTCAAAGTAGACACGGAGGTGCTATCGGACCGGGCCTCGAGTGCGGGCTCCTCGGATAAGCAGTCGGGCTCGGGGATGCGCCGCCTAGACGGCGCCTCGACACTCAGTCCAGACGAGGCCCTTCGCCAGTACACCCTGTTCCGTGGCCGCGACGAAGAGCGCGCTTCGACACCCAGCAACGCGGCCAGAGCCGACCGAGGCTCGCCCAAGTGAGACTATTGTCTCCCCTTCGACGCCATCCCCCTCCCCCCTTTTACGACTCCTGCGCTTTACAACCTTCTCTCTCTCTCTCTTCATTCAAACTTTAAATGCCAAATTAACGATCGCACGAAACAGTCATCAACCCTTCTTGGCCTCGTCTGCTTCCTCTCTTCTACTACTTCTCATCATGACTAGCTCAATTTCATTTTGTTTTCTTATACCTGCTCCTCTAACCTGTTCAAAGCAAGGACAAAGAAAGGACTGTTGTTGGTGATGCCCCTCACGGAACCCTATCCCCCTTTTTCTGCTTCGGATCGGCTCGATGGGTGGTTCAGACTGTCTCTGTGCGTCTCCAAAAATAACTGAGGACTACTGCGTAGAAGGACACTCGGCTCGGATTCAATTCGTTCGATGCTTGCGCCGGTCAGAAGTCTGTTGTTGTTTTTTTTGTTCTCCGCGCCTGTCATGATCTTGGGTCTCTACCGCTGCTCCTCTCTCTGTCCTCGTCTTGATTTCGGAGTCTTCTTGTTCATCCCTCGAACACATACGAATCTCATACCAAGAAAAAAAAAACTAACACGCAATGTCTGATTTTGGTCTCTCTCTCTCCCTTGTCATTATTACCATTAATTCTATACATCAACAACCTTTGTTCTTCTCTTCTTCTTCCTCTCGTACTTGAATATTTTATCTATTTCATGCCCTTTCTTTTGTTTTTTCCTTTCATCTCAGATCGGGATGCCCTTTCTTCTTCTTTTTTTTATGGGTTTTATTGTTATGAACTTGCAAGGATTGGTCTTTCCTCTTTTTTTTTTATAGGACTGAGAGGATAATTGATCACTACAACAACACCCTTCCTTTTTTCCATCTCTCACTCTCATTCCATCTCTTTGGATTCATTAAGGGAAGTAAATTTATTCATGGAATTTGATTCTGATGATGGACGGCTAAAAATCACGAGGTGGAAACCAAAAAAATGGCTATGTTGATCTCCGGCTGATTGCATCATTTGAATATGAGAACACAAACACCTGCGAAATGGTCAAATGTTAAAGTTATGTGGTTGGGCCTTGTGTTGCAGAGTAAGTTATGTAGGAGTCTTGAGTGGTCATCGAACCCGATCTGTTTCGGATCCCCGCCAACCCTACTTATAATCCAAATGTGTTCATAAGATAAACGAAGTACGTAGATAATCTCTGACTTGATTAAAGTCCCTCGCCGTCCCGCAGGGTCCCTGACTCACTCCCAGTTTCATCCCCCGGCAAGCCATCGGATGAAACTGCCAGGCTAAGTTTAAAGATAATCAGCTCGGCCAGGGAATGGACTGCGCCCAACGTGCCTCGGAAAGGAAAACATGCCCTGTATGATGTGCATCAAGGCAATGCGAGATCTTCGTCACCGCTAGATAGGGGTAACTCTCGATAGAGACACCCCACAATCCGCCGGCTTTCTGGAGGGATTCCACCATTCCCGAGACAAAATATTAAAGCAAACGATCAACCTGTTAATTGACATCACAAATTCGTATCTCTTTGATGAAGTGTCATCTGCTTTGTGGCGTAATACTTTGCCGCCTAGATTTCAGGGCATTGGGCCGGCCGGGGTTTCGGCTTGGAATAGACCAGTTGCAGCCTTGGATTGAAGAAGCATTGAACGTTGGCAGCAGTGGAAATCGCAAGCGTCCGCTGGAGAACGAGCATATCCTGCAGCAACCACATCCATCGGCGGTTCCAGTAAATCGACATGGTGAGTCAAACATACTTCAGTACGCAATCCTTACAAATTGGGGTCTGTGTCTGATTCAAGCTGGTCTCCATTCTTTATCAGTCGGCCCTCTTCAAGCTTCATCAATCGACAACTCAGAGAAAAGACACAAGGCAGAACTTCTTGGGTCAGATGGATCATGCACGACACCTGACATTTCAAGAGATCATTTCGATTCAAATCTCAGTCACACATTTGATAAGAACTTAGAAGGTTAAACAATTTGTTTCGTTTCAAAGATAATGTTAACACCTGTTTGTCTAATTCTCATGTGCAAAATTGGATGCTGAAATAAACGAATTGATAATTCTCACCCATGTTAGCAATGTTAGCCCTGGATGATCATCAAGGACAGCTTTATCATCAGCCAAGTGACCCAACTAGGCAAAGATCACCAAGCTCCCTTTTACCCCTGCCGGCCTATGATCAGCCACTGTTTGGAATACCTGACTTCCATGAGGATCTTCTACCTTTACCATCTGCATCAAATTGGCAAGGTAAGAGACTCCTTTTCCTTTGAAAGATAATACAGAAACCTACCACAAGGATATCTTTGCCCTGTGATGTGAAAGCTTTGAATGCTGAGATAAGTGGAATCTCCAATTTTACAACATGTCATTGGTGGGAATGGAAGACCAGGTCCATCAAGGAAGCTTTTATCATGAAGCAGAGGATTTTTTCAAACAAGGCCCAACTGGTGCGCTTTTGCCACTCCTAAACTCTGAGCAGCCACTGTTTGGGATACCTGAAAGCCTTGGGGAAGAATTTAGAAATTTACCCTCTGCATCAAATTGGTTAGGTGAGCGCATATCCACTTTATTTCAAACATCATAGCAATATCCCAATCTCACTCATTTTGGGAACGGAAGATATGGACCATCAAGGAAGAAATTATCATCAGACAAGTTACCCAGCTGAGGAAGGATCAACAAGTTCTGTTTTACCCATCCCCACCTCTGATGAGCAGCTACCTCTTGGAATTTCTGGAAACCTTGAAGAAGAATATCCAACTTTACCATCTGCATCAAATTGGCTAGGTTAGGAAACTAATTTTCTTTCAAAAACAGTCTTCCAACCTATGTGGAAAACCCTTTTTTCTTGAAGGCTGACATAGATGCAATCCCCAATCTTATTCATGTTGGAAATGGAAGACACAGAACAGCAAGGACACCCTCCTCATGACAAAGACAATTTGCCCAATAGGGATAAATTAACAAGATCACCTTTAACACACTCAACCTCTGATCACCCACTATTTGGAAAACCTGGAATCCTTGATAAATATTTTTCAAATTTACCATCTGCATCAAGTCATTTTCATGAATCTGTACTACAGGAAAACAATATATTGCAAAAAAGCAGCAAATGCTTTGGGGAACTAGGAAATTGTAGCATGCATGTTAAAAATTCACAAGGACTTCTTGAACCCTTTGAATATTCTCCATGTCCAAAATCTGGCAATCCAAATCAACTGATAGAAACAAATCTTCAGGAGAGTTCATTTCATCCAGAAGTGGTTCCAGACCATCATGAGTCTCAGGAAGATGAAATTTTAGAATTTGTTTTTTCGATTGGGTCATTATCAAAAAGAAGAGCTGATTGGATGGAAGAGATGGAACAACTAAGAATATCTGGAGGTAATTTTTTTGATTTCTGGAGAATGAATACTGTACCTGAAAGGATGATAGATACAGAGCTCTGGGAAGGACACTTGAGCAAATTTTCAGAACACATGAGAACTACATCTAAAAGAGTTCAAGACCTTCAGAAAAATTGGCACACTTATGCAATGAAAGATTATCCTGCTTTAAGAATTCCTCTATCAGGAACAGATGATTTCTTCATCAGGGTTATTGGTGACAAAAGGAAATCAACTCAAACCCGATATTATCAAATATCTAATTTCAAAAATATCATGAAGTCACTTATCCTCATCAACAATGCTGTATCAAGACAATTCAATCCAGCTGATGCAGAAATGAATGAAGTATCATCAAACACACAGCTGTTGAATTGGTTGTTTGATCAATCATTCATACCCAAGAATAGTTTCCCTGTTTTTGGAACATTTCCAAAGGATCACAATTTGAAGCCAGGAGAAGAGTTTGGATTGGTTCAAAAGATTTTACTTGATCAACTATCAAGGAGTAAATCTAATGAGTATTCTTTTGAGGCTTCCATATTAATCATCAGCTTGTGGTACATAGATTATAATCCAAAGCTTTGGAAAAACATCAAAAACTACCAGGAGGGCTGCAGTCCACAAATAAGCATGATTTTATTTGTTGGCAGATTCATTTTTTCAGGGATCAATTTCAACCAAAATAATGAGGAATTTAAAGATTTTCATGTCTTGGGCACCAATATCCCAGGTAATTTGAAAGAACCAGAGTTAAGCAAATTTCCAATCACAATGAAGCCTGAAAGGTGGGATAAGAAGAATTTTGATGGATCAATAAAATCACTACACAAATTGTTCAAAATTGACCCCAGTCATTTTGACAAAAGAGTTATAAGTGTTGAAGGTCTCCCAGTCAAATTGAAGAAATTCAAAACAAAAACCAACCACAAAGCTTGCAAATATAGGATCAGGATTGATGATTCAGTTGATCATCTTTACATCAAACGGTTTATAGTCAAGGTTGAATTACTGGGTAGACATTTGCAAATATGCCACAGAGATCTGATCACCCAACTGAAATTGAGAGGCAAGAAAGTGAGTGAAGATTCATTTGATTCCTTCAATAAATGGTTTGAGAATACCCTGCTTGGAAAAGAAGGAGGAAGTTTCCCGATCATTGGAGATGTAGAGAGTGGGAAAGATCAATTTGATTTCACAGACTGGGGTGAAGTTCAATCCTACCTGATCAAACAATACTTTAGTGATTCAAGTGGATACTTCAAGGTCGTATGGATTTCACTTGCCCTGCTTGAGTATTGGTACAAAAGCTTTCAGAACCCTGAATACTTCTTCCAAACTGATAATGAATACTGGAATATCATGATTAAATCTTTGGGGAAAAAAATGTCTATTTCAGGTCGCTATTCTTTGAAAAATTTTGATGAGAAAGGTTTCTATTCACCTTATGGCTTCAGAAGGCGAAATCGATTTGACTAGGAATTAATCAATTCAAAAATTTGCGAATTTCATAGTGAGGATCCATTTCCAGATCGCTTGCAACTCAAGTGGAAACATTAAAAAATGAAGGGAAAACAAAACAAAACTTGAAAGGTTTTTGTGAGCCAGAAAATTGGGATTTTTCTTCCTCGTTTCATTGCTTTATCCTCGAGTCACTGGATAGAAATATGTTATATTAAATGATGCTTGTTCAATAATACGTTGTGACTGAAATATATGCACATCATGGTTAGCATTGTTTGAGTTCAAATTGTACATAATCGAAATGTGCTCGTAAAACAATTCTTAACCGCAGAAAGTCTACTCGTCCACACTAGAATGGACTGCGTCCAACATGCCTCGGATAAGGAAAAATTGACCTGTATTACAATATGGGAGTGTGACAAAATTGTGATGATGAAAGCATTGCAACATCTTAAGGAATCAGAACTTGTTGCGATTCACCGCTAGATACGTGGAGCTGTCGGTGGAGGCCCCCTAGATCCCGGCCCTTCTGGTATACATATCTGAGACATTAGGCAAACGTTCAACCTACTATCAGCGCAAATTGCTATCTCTTTCATGATGGGCCTTCTGCTCTGTGGCGTACTTTTCTACCTGAATTTTGGGGTATTGGGTCGACCAGGGTTATGGCTCGGAGAAGGCTATGATCAGTTCCAGCCGTGGGTTGAAGATGGATTGAACGTTGGTGGTAATCGCAAGCGTCCACTGGAGAACGAGCATATTCTAGAGCAACCACATTCATTCACCATTTCAAATTACGCACAAGGTGAGTCAAGCACAAGTCCGTAATGCTTTTGAATCTGTCTCCAATTCAAGCTGATCTGCAACTCTTATGAGTCGGCCCGGAAGCTTCGTCGATCGAAAACTCAGAGAAGAGGCACAAGGTAACATATTTTGGATCAGATGACTGGACACCTAGCATCTCAGGAGGTGATTTTGATTCCAACACCAGTCACACATTTCAGTATGACAACTCGAAAGGTTAGATTTATTTATTTATTTGGAGCATCAAATCATTACCTAATAGGGTAACCGGTTTGTCTTGACATGTGAAAAATTGAATTCTGAAACAAACAAAATTCTCGATCTCAATACCTTGGGAACCGTAGCCCTGCAGCATCAACAAGTACAAATTAATCATCAGGCAAGTCACCCGGCTAAGGAAAGGTCAACAAGCTCTCTCTTACCACTCCCAAAATATGATCAGCCACTGTTTGGAATACCTGAAATCTATCAAGATGATTTTCCAACTTTGCCATCTGCATCAAATTGTCAAGGTTAGAGCATCCATTTTCTTCTATTGATAATATCAAAACCTACTGGGAGAGCTTTCTTGCATTTCTATGTGCAGAACAGAATTCTGAAAACAATGACCCCCCCCACCCCCCAATCTAACTCATGTTGAGAATAGTAGGCCTGCATCATGAGAGGAAAACCTTTAATTTAGCAAGTTACCCAGCTAGGGAAGAATCAAAAAGCTCTCTTTTACCGCTCCCAACCTATGATCAGCCACTGTTTGGAATTCCTGCAATTGCTCAAGAGGATCTCCTAAATTTAGCATTTGCATCAAATTTTCAAGGTTAGACTAGAATCTGTTTTTTTTTCAGATAAAATGCAAATCTACCACTGAAACATGTTGGTATTGCTGTGGGAAAGATGGAATGCTGACATAAATAGAATCCCCTGTCTCAATTGTGTGGTGAATTGAAGACCTGGATAATCAAGGCCACATTTATAATCTGGAAAATTATCCCAATCAAGATGGGTCCACAAACTCACATTTGACATTCACAAAATTTAATCAAGCACATCTTGAATTCCTAAAAGCCATCAGGAGGATTTTCTAAATTTACCATCTGCATCAAATTGGCAAGGTAAGAAACTTCCATTTTATTTTTAACTACATCATCACCCCCTCCCCCCCCCCCCCCAGATATACCTCTTTACCTTCTGTTTACACCATAGAATGCTGAAATATATCTAATTCCTAATCTCATTCATTTTTTGAGGAGTAGAATTGGATAACCAAATACATCCATATCATCACAAAACATCTCCAAGTAAGGACATCTTTGCAAGCTCTCTTGTATCCCACTCAACCTCTGTTCAGCCACTTTCTGAGATACCTGAAAGCATTCAAGAGGATTGTCCATATTTAGCATCTGGATCAAATCATTTTCTTAAATCTGCAATAACAGAAAAAAACATTGAACAAAGCAGTCAATACTTCCGGAATTCAGAAAATCATAGCATTGAGATTCCAAATTCTCCACTACTTTTTGAATCCTGTGATTTTTCTCCAAGCAAAATATCTGCTGATAGAAATAAAATTATAGCAACAGATATTCAAGAAAGCTCACCTCATGCAGAAGGTGATCCAGGCCATCATGAGACTCAGGAAAACCAAAATCCAGAATTTTTCTCCTCCAATGGATTGCTATCAAATACAAGAGCTGATTGGGATTGAAGAAATCAAACAACATGGGATCATTGGAAGTCATTACTTTGAGTTCTTGAACATGAATTTTGTACCTGATGGGATGATAGATGAAGAACTCTTGGAAGGCCATGTGAGCAAGTTCTCAGAGCGCATGAAAACTATAAGCAAAAGAATTCAAGGGTTACATAGAAATTGGAGAGATTATGTGATGAAGGATTCTCCTTCTTTAAAAGTTCCTATTTTTGGAACAGACAATTTCTTTATTCAGGTTATTGGTGAGATAAGGGGGGCAAGTCAAACACATTATTTTCAAATAATGAATTTGAAAAATATCATGAAGTGTCTAATAATCATAAATGCTGCACTATCAAGAGAATTCAACAAGTATGGATCAGAATTAGATGTATTATCATCAAACACAGAGCTGTTAGATTGGTTGTTTGATCAAGCATTTGAACCCAAAAACAGCTTTCCTGTTTTTGGAATAGTTTCAAACAAACAGCTTTTGGAGCCAGGAAAAGAGTTTGGAATGATTCAAAAGATTTTACTTGATCAACTATCAAAGCACAAAGCTAATCAGTATTCTCTTGAGGCTTCCATCCTAATTATTAGCTTGTGGTACAAAGCCTACAAACCTGATTTTTGGGAACACATCAAAAAACATCAGGATGGTTTTAGTCCAGAAATAAATATGATTTCAGTTCTATTCAAAGCCATTCATTCAGGTACTAATTTTAATAAACAAAATAACAAGTTTAAAGACTTTAGTGGATTAGGCACCAATATCCCAGGTAACTTGAAAAAACCATCTTTAAGAAAACTTCCAGCCTCAATGAAGCCTGAAAGGTGGGATACAAGGAATTATTAAGGATCAATCAAATCAATCCATGCCTTGTCAAAAATTGACATATCTCAGTTTCACAAAAATATTAATGTAGATGTTGAAGGTCTACCAGTCAAAATGAAGAAATTCAAGACAAACACCAATGTGAAAGTTTCAAGATATAGGGTAAGAATTCACGATTCAGAATCAAATGATGGTTCTTACATAGTTAGACTTGAGTCAAAGGTTAAACTACTGGAAAGACATTTGCAAATATGTCAGAGAGATCTCCTTTCTCAACTTGAATTAAAAGGAAAGAAATTGGATGGAAATTCATTGATCAATTTGTTCAATGAATGGTTTTCAAAAATAATCCTTGGAAAAGAAGGAGGACCCTTCCCAATCATTGGAGATTTTGAGAGTGAAAAAGATGAATTTAAATTCACAGACTTTGGTGAAGCTCAATTATACTTGATAAAAGAATACTTTAGTGATAAAATTGGATTTTCCAAGGCTGTATGGGTTTCACTTGCCCTTCTTGAGTATTGGTACAGGAAGTTTCAGCATCCTGCAAATTTCTTCCTAACTGATAATGAATACTGGAATACTATGATTGGATCTTTAGGAAAGAAAATGTCTTGTTCAGGTCGCTATTCTTTGAAAAACTTTGACAAGAAAGGAATCTATTCATCATACCATTTCATACATATAAGAAAACCCAGGTATTACAAAAAAAACAAGAACTGATCAAAGAGGTTCAAACTTGAAAAAATTGTGATTTTTTTTTCAAATCTTTCTTAAAATCAAACCAAAAATTAAATGGATTTTCAGAAATAAAAAATCAAGAAAAACTTAATATTAGTCATGTTTTATAAAATTGGTATCATTTTTCTTCGTAATTGTTTCATTCTTCCATCCTTATATCATTCTTCCAGCCTTATATCATTTTTCCATCCTTATATCATTCTTCCATCCTTGCATCATTCTTCCTTCCTTGCATCATTCTTCCATCCTTATATCATTCTTCCATCCTTGTGAGTGTCTCTGATCCCACAGTTCCCAAGTCCATGTATTTGTACTCAGTGTCTGGCTTTATGCCACCTGTTTGTGATTGGGCAGGTTTAAAAAATGGTTAAAAACCTTAGCCTTCATATAAGTATTGAATTGTACAGCTTCCAAGAATCTCAAATCTATCATCTAAATCATGTCTTACCTACCATCCATGCATGTTAACATCTGTCCTGTGTGAGATATTGAATTTTTCTGGTAGGTCTGAACAGTGAGATGGCTTGCACAAATGCAAAATATATCAAATAAAGTCTGGATAGATTGGCTATATGATCAGCCATTTAAACCAAAAAAAAGGGTTCCCTGTCTATGCACCAGAAGTTCTAAATGAATGGATTTGGATTCCACTAGAAAAGAGTTTGACTTGATTCAGAAAATATCACTTGATCAACAG